ACTGGGGGGAGAAAACGTTTTATGGGTAGAGCAGTTTATTTTTCCTGTAATACTTCATTATAGTGTTTTAAGACAAAGCTAATTGAAGGGGGCGCTGAGCAGAGTTACAACCAGGGATTACAAATAATTACTTTTTTCTTCTGCAGTTCGGCGCCCCCTCCAGCAGATGGTGATCTAGGTGACCGCCTAGTTCGCCTATGCCAAGAGCCGGCTCTGAACCAATCATTGCTTGTGCTTGAGAAACACCTACTGAGTCTGCAGATTGTCCAGATGCTCTGTGATTACATGAAAAAAGGTTGAGGGTGGCAAATACGCAAACAAAACACAAATCTCTCCTTTTCAAAAAAAATTTTTTTACAGTGAACATCTCTAGTAGTATTGTCTCCTCTTTAGCGACACCCACAGTTTGGGAGTAAAACCACAGCAGCACCAGTGTAAACAGTAACAAACCATATAAAAATGTGCCTAAAGCAATCAACGTTGGTCAATTTCAAGTTTGACTTTGCCTCAGAAATAGTSATTGCTTCATAAACCTCTGTGTGAGTGTGTGTGTTTTATTGATTTACTTTTAAAGTACCGATTTAAATACCGTTTAGGAACCAGTACCATTTTGAAAGTATCGATTTAGCACCAGTATCAAATTAAACCCTTTCAATAGCCAACCCTATTTGAAGCTTGCTGAAAGTGAAACTAAAATGTTTCCTTTGTAATGTATGCTTTAGTTTAGTTAGTGATGCTAAAGTTTATGTTTGTTTTTTCTCTTTGAGTGGTGGTTAACGTTTTGTAGGCCACCTTAGTGTGTTTGAGAAGTGAGCACACAGTTTTTACTGCTTTTCATACTGTAACTTGTTTGTTTTGCACTTTACCACAGCTTTTCTGTAATCGTTAGTGATTAATACTGCCACTACTGCAGTTGTATTAACTAAAGGAAATGTTCCCAAAGCTTTTAACAAACACTAAGAATTGGACGATTGATCAAATAAAATAACATGTTTACTATGATGGAAATATAAGAAGTGGATCACTTGTGTTTCCTCTCATAATTGTTTGTAAATTTTAAAAATACTGTTGTTTATCAACAGTTTAAAATTGTCCTCAAGTGTGTGTTTTTTTTTCTTAAGATAGACTGAAGCTTCTCAACAATAAAGAGTATAAAGTGTTTTGTCTACAGGGACTGGCCTTTGATCAAAATATGCATGCATACAACTATATACACAGTTAATACATGTAAAAAACATAACATCCTCTGGCCATCAAAATCTGAAAAAGGCCCCTTGACTTCCTGGGGTTTGGAACCACTGCCTTTCATTACATTTATATAATAAAAATATCAAAACATTCCTTGCTTTCAACTAACTTTATTTGTCCAGTTTTGTGATTATGCCCATATTTTCCACACAGTGGAAATCATTTGACATTTTGCATCTTCTAGTGAATGGTTGTAAATGGTTTCAGTTTCTCAACCACAGCCAGCTGTTTAGTTTTTCCTGTTCTGCATGAGTTTAGCTGTGTGAAGTCTGAGAAAAGCATCACGTATTAGTGATTCAGCCCCTGTTAATGATCAGGAATGACGTTAGAGCTCCATAAAGCAGAGCTTAAACTGATCATAACAGGACAATGGCAGCATGACAGATCAGGGGTTAGCACTGATGCCTCACAGTAGGAAGGTCCTGGTTTCTATCCGCAGACCTGGGGCCTTTCTGCATGGTTTGCATTTTCTCCTCGTGCTTGTTTGGGCTTTCTGCAGGTGCTTCAGTTTTCCTCCCACAGGCCAAACATGTATAATAGGTTTCCTTCAGGCCCAAGCCACCTTTACAGATCTGTAATCTCAATGGGATTTGCATGGTTAAATAAAGGTTAATAATAAAAATGAAAAAAATAATAGTAATAATTCATGATTTTGTATCTGTTTAACTATTGACCTGTTTAAAGCTTCAGATTTAGTTTTTACAGTTCCTTAGAGGATATAATGTTGTCCTGGCTTATAATTTTCATGTTGTTTTGTAGTATTTTATTTAGTATCAATCGCTGGATGTAATTACAGTCACAGTAACGCAAGATGATTGCCACAACTAATCAACCTTACAGATACTGTGGTAATGTGGTAAACAGTAGATGAGGATTACCCAAGGAGGTTCTATAGAAAAGCTGGAGTGCGCAGAAACCATGTGACCRTGTGATCAGCTGTAGAAGCTAACGGCTAACGCTAAACTGTCAAGAGTCTGGATTTCCCATTACAGTACATGTTGACAACAGAGCAGAAAAAAAGGACTGACGATGTAGAAATCATAAAAACTATTAACAATAATGTTAACCCAATTATTATTAATAGTTTACAGCTTATATAATCTATCTAATGTTTTAAATAATGTCAGAAAAGCTGTTTGTGTTATGGATTTATTAACAGAAGATAAACAGGAAAACGTCTCATTTTACAACACAAGTCAGCAGATTTGATCTTATTTAGCTCAATGTGATCTGAGTAGAACATAATGTAATAGTTTAAAATTAAAATAATCTTACAAAGTCCATGTAATTACTGTTATTTATTGAACTGGTTAGCAGATATTAGTTTGTGGAGCATAAATACAGAGTTTGGTACTGTTGAATCATGCTACAATTTAACACAAACTATTAAATATTACTTTGTCCTCTGATTGATACAGAATTTAGACCTACAGAGTGTAATATAATATTATAAATGTGAGTATTTTTAGGTTTCTGTTAGAGGAACCTGACATGTTGAGAAGATGTTAGCTAATAGAGACAAGTTTCATCCTATAATCAGAGAACATTTTCTAACTGTTGACTGGTAAATATAAATATTCTTATTTTTTATGACAGTAAGAAGAAATAATGAATATACTTTATTACTAGCTGAAGTCACCATTTTTCAAGTTGCTAAAGTCTAAGTTACAGGGTGACCAGGTCTGGTTTAGATCATTGTTACTTATATGTTTTTCTGATATAAATCTGCTGTTTTACATGATTGTTGAATGAAATTAACATAATTATTAATTTACTGTAAAAACATGACAGATAATCTGTGAAACAGATCCAGTTCAGCTGCTGTTTATCTATTATGGTGGCTGTGAGCTGTTGTCCTGTTAGGTCTCCGTTTCTGCTCCTCCATGCTGTCACAGATGCTACCAGTGGACGGTATGGGCGGGGACTCAATCTAGTGATCTAAATATTTAAGTCTATGGGACCACCATATTCCCAACACAGAATCTGAGCACAAATACCTCAGCTAGGTCTCACAGTTTTGCATGAAACTGTGCAGACAGTCATTTACATGGGCTGACCAAAGTGAGTATAA